CTTTTTTTTTTTTTTTTTTTTTTTTGAGACAGTTTCGCTCTGTCGCCCAGGCTGGAGTGCAATGGTGTTATCTCAGCTCACTGCAACCTCTGCCTCCTGGGTTCAAGCAATTCTCCTGCGTCAGCTTCCTGGGCACCTGGGATTACAGGCACCTGCCACCACGCCTGGCTAATTTTTGTATTTTTAGTAGAGACAGGGTTTCACCATGCTGGCCAGGTTGGTCTCAAACTCCTGACCTCAGGTGATCCACTGCCTTGGCCTCCCAAAGTGTTGAGATTCTAGGCGTGAGCCACCGTGCCTGGCCCCCTCGAATTCTTTCCTTTGCAAGATCCAAGTACCCTCTCTTGGAGTCTGGATCGGGACCCCTTTCAGGTAACATATTTCTGGCAAACCACAGAAAGGATGATACTGAGGAGACCCACCCCACCACGCAAAGGAAACAGACTGCAGCACCGATTGGCTCACTTTAGGACACAAGTGGAGAAACTGGTTATTTTGCCAAGGCTCTAACTGGAATGGCGTACGTTCCTTTCAGGAATTAAACTTAACTTATAGCGCCAATACAAGCCCTTTGGGAAAACCGGCGTCATTCCTTGTCTACACAGTTCCTGACCTGTGTTGCACAGGCCTATGGAACACAAGAGAATGATCCCACTTATTCCTGCAAGCCAACCAGTGATCTCTGGCTGCCGCTCAGAAGAAATAAGAGAGATGAGTACTGTTAAAATCTGGATCAATATTCTAACTCTGGGCACATATTGGAATTGGCTAGCGACTCCTTATTAGGTTGATTTCAACAATTGCCTAGTTCATGGAAAACCTGCTAATTTAGTTTACTTGGGATAATTTTACTTTGTTTACTGTTATGTAATATATTGCTGTAATTATACTCTTTGTGTAGCAATGCAGGATAAGCTTACTAAATGTTTTCTTAAACTGAATACTTATGAATCTTCCAGATATTACCTTTTGTCGGAACTCAAGAGTTAAGAATGGCCTTCACCATACCAATGCTTTCTAACTGAGCTCCTCTCTACCCTGAATGCAAGAGACCCAACATTCAGGAAGGAATATCATCACCCCTGTTCAGCATAAAGAAGTTACAGAAGATGGATCTTCATCCCTCTGCAACCCTTAGGATTAAGGGTTCCCTTGTAAAAGGAATGGGGGAAATATGTCAGAGATGTTTGAACCACAGCAACTCCATCTTGAATAGGGGCTGGGTAAAACAAGGCTGAGATGTACCAGGCTGCATTCCAGATGGTTACCCATTCTAAATCTCAGGATGAGATAGGGGTTGGTACAAGACACAGGTCATTAAACACCTTGCTAATAAAACAACATGCAGTAAAGAAGTCAGCTAAAACCCACCAGAACCAAGATGGCAACAAGAGTGGCCTCGGGTTCATCCTCACTGCTACACTCTCACCAGTGCCATGATAGTTTACAAATGCCATGGCTACATCAGATTACCCTAGATAGTCTTAAAAGTTTTAGGGAGGCATGAATATTCCACCCCTTGTTTAGCATATAATCAAGAAATAACCATAAAAATGGGCAACCAGCAGCCCTCCAAACTGTTCTGCCTATGGAGTAGCCATCAGTTATTCCTTTAATATTACTATTATTTTTGGAGACGGAGTCTCACTCTGTTGCCGAGGCTGGAGTGTAGTGTTTTGATCTCGGCTCACTGCAACCTCCGCCTCCTGGGTTCAAGCAATTCTCCTGCCTCAGCCTCCCAAGTAGCTGGGAGTACAGGCATGCAACACCACGCCTGGCTAATTTTTGTATTTTTAGTAGAGATGGGGTTGTACCATATGTTGGCCCAGGCTGATCTTGAACTCTTGACCTCAGGTTATCCACCTGCCTTGGCCTCTCAAAGTGCTGGAATTATAGGCATGAGCCACTGCACCCAGCCCCTTTACTCTCTTAAAACTTGTTTTCTCCTTAAAGAAAAAAAAAAGTCTTAGTTAACACATATGTCCCTAAAACTGGAGTGGGCCAGGCACAGTGGCTCACGCCTGTAATCCCAGCACTTTGGGAGGCTGAGGTAGGTAGACAACAAGGTCCAGAGTTCAAGACTAGCCTGGCCAACATACTGCCCAAAGTAATTTACAGATTCAATACTATCCCCATCAAGCTACCAATGACCTTCTTCACAGAACTGGAAAAAAACACCTTCAACTTCATATGGAACCAAAAGACAGCCCACATAGCCAAGTCAATTCTAAGCAAAAAGAACAAAGCCGGAGGAATCACACTACCGGACTTCAAACTATACTACAAGGCTACAGTAATCAAAACAGCATGGTACCGGTACCAACACAGATATATAGACCAATG